GGAGTGGACCATTTCCACTGTTTCTGCAATTAGCACATGACACACAATTTACAGTGGATATTGTCCTTTCGTATTTTTTTGATGAAAATGTAAGTTCTAAGTATTTTTATTGCATCCTCCCCATAGGATGTATACACCCACTTTGGAAACCACTAGGACACCAGGCTCTGGGGAGAGGACAGCTGTGGAACTGAGGGTGATGGGGAAGGAGGCACTGTGAAGTGACATTTAAACTAGAGTGTAGATGAGGAGGCAAGAACTGCCAGGCATGAAGGGCGTGCATCGGTGGTGGAAGCGGGGGCGGGGATTTACTGCAGGGATGGGCTCTTACTGACCAGGGAGGGTCTCAGGAAGTGGAGGTCTGGAGAAGGGATCAGAGTCCATCAGAAACACCGGAATAGTTTGACAAATCTGAGTTTGGGAGAAAATCCAATAAACCACGTCTGTCCAGTGCCAAGTTGGGACTGCCAGAGTCTACCGGAGCAGTTGGTTCTGTGAACTGCTACCTGCTGGAGGGTGCGGGACCACAGCTGATCAGGAGGGCAGCGGTTCTGAGAGGAGCTGAACGTGGAGGAAAAGAGGAAGGAGAAGCTGGGTCCACTGGACTCGCCTGTGTCTGTCAACATGTCAGATCCAGGCTCCTCCTTCACTTCTGTTTTCCAAATCTCATCCAAGTCCCTCTTTGGCTAACTCTAACCTGGAACTACACGGGGAAGGGGATTCGGGCAAATGCACCTTCCAGCCTAACCAGGTTGTACAGCACCACCCAGAGCACAGGGAACAAGACATGGAAAGGCGCCGAAAAGGAATGAACTCGATGTGCTCTGGAGTCCGAGGAAAGAGGTGGGGCTGAGGCTCAGTGGGTGGGCCCGGAGGAGGCCCACCATCCGGAAGGGGCCGGCTCACCCTGTGTTTTGACTTCATTCTAAATTGCAGGATTTTAAATAAGGTGGTGGCATTCTGTGAATTATCCTTTAGAAATATCATTCTGGCTGCCATGATGTTAGGGAAGCAAGAGGAAAGTTGAGAAAAGGGGGAACAGGGAAATAGGAGGCTACTGAAGTGGCCGGAGAAAGAGACAACGGTGGTCTAGGCGGAAACTGTCAACGTGTGGATAGTCAGGAAGGCTTTTAGTTCCTTTTCATCAACATATTTTTTGAGTCCTGTAACATTTCCGTGTGGGATACGGGACACATTTTGTTGCAAGGCAGGTGCAGCAGAAGTAAGCGGCAAGGAAGGTGAGGGACGGACGCCCAGGACACATGGACACCCGTGCTGACTCTGCTCCTCAGGAGGGTGGGGGACGGACGCCGAGGACACACGGACACC